AAGAAAACCCCATGATAGTTTTGTCTTAAGGTTGCCATAAGATGGAAGTGACTTGAAGGTACATAACAACAGCAACTATCACACAACAAGTCAGTCTTCTCCTCTCCAGGCCAAATATACCCAACTCCCTAAATTGTTCCTCTCATTTATGGTCTTCCCTCTTTGTCTCTTGAGGCTGGGAATATGGCATCACCATCCCTCCAGACCACAAACCCAAGAGCTGGGTCCCTACGGAGAAGATGTACCACACCAACCGTCGCCGGCGTTGGGTGAGGCTGCGCCGGAGAGACCTGGCTCAGATGGAGGCCCTGAAAAAAGTGAGTCGTGTGCGGCCATCTTTGGGGGTACAGATGTGAGAGAAGTTGTAATGCACACCTGCCTGCCTCAATCCGTGTCCTCCAGATGTGCCAGCCATGCTGGTTAAAATGCTGGTCCTGCAACCACAAGGCTGTGAGTTCGATCCCTGCAGGGCTCCAGGGTTGACTCAGGCTTCCATCCTTTCGTAGGTCGGTAAAGCAAGTCCCCAGGTTATTGGGGGCAATGGGTTCACAGATTGTAAACTGCTTAGAGAGAGTGCTGAGTTCACTATGAAGCGATATAGAAATGTAAATGCTATTGCCATCTAGCATGGGGTCTTCTTCTCTTTCTCCATTCTGTTGCAGAGTGAATCTCATGACCGACCCCACTGTTACCATAGGTCTTAGAAATTCAGAGACATAGCCATGTTCCTCTGGAATATCAGTCTGCAAAGGGATCTTGTAGTACCTTTGAGGGACTTAACTGAGTAAATGGAGTTGTAGCATGAAGGTTTGTAGACTTGGTCTGCTTCCTCAGATGCATGGTCTACTTCGGACCCGCACAACTTGGCAGGAGGTGGGTAGGGGCCAAAATTAAAGTAGGCTAAACTTCTTTGGGCTGCAAATAAGTTTTAATTAAATATTAATTCATTGATTAATTCATAATTAATTATCATTAATTAGTAATACAGTAGCCCCTCCCAATTTGTGGTGGATCTGTTCTGGACCCCCCCCCCATGAAAATGGCGGCTCACAAATATTTGAGCTCCATTGAAAATAATGGTGTGTGCAACCATGGCATGCGCATGGCGCTGCGTGCAAGCAAGCACCACCATTTTATCCCTCTCCGCTTGCAAAGAGTGAGATCACAGACGCAAAAGTCCGCAAATGGAGAGGGACAACTGTAAATAATATTATTAATATTAATTCCTTTGGGAGAAGCTATCCAGGGTAGCCATATTGTAGGAAAGTATTATTATTGTTGTTATGATATTTATTTATATCCCAACCTTTCCCCAAAACTGGGAATTAGGGCAGCTTACAATGTAAAAAAAGAACAATGCAGTTGAAAGCATACAAAAAAGGCACATTAAAATAGAATTAAATTATTACGATATTAAAACAGTTGACATGTTAAAAGAATAAAATGTTTAAAAAGTTAAAAAATTGTTTAAAACACTTTTTAAAAAAAGTACAATAGTCTCCAAAATCCAAAAACAGCTATAATTTTATGAGGCCAACCAAAATGCTCAATATGTATTTTGTGGAGTTTGGATGTTGTTGTTCTACATTTGCTGGGGTTAGGGGTGAAAGACCCCCATGAACGTGGAAAAACTACAAATAAAAAAACAACATTATTCTTTTTACCTAAGAGAACACCTCTCTAGGAATCCCCAGGTCCTCCAGTACAACTCTATGGTCAACATCTGCCAGAAATTGATCATAGAGTCATGCTGGAGGACCTACAAATGCCTAGAGAAGTGTTTTCTCTAGGAACTTCTAGTTTCTCCAGCAAAACTCTATGGTCAACCTCTGGCAGAGTTATTCTGGAAGACCTAGAGATTCCTAGAGGGAACATATTAATCAAAACTGCACATAATCAAATGTACAAACGTCAAAGCCGCAAATGTGGTGGTTCAGCTGTACATTGAAGAACCGGATGCTCAAATTTTACCTGTAATGCCTCGACTGGGCTCTAGGAGGCGACCTTGGACCAGGAATGCCTTCGAAAAATTCCTGGCGGACGCATGTATTTTCGTCTCAAATATTTAAAGAAATAGAGGCAAGCAGCAGAGGGAGGCTGGTGCTTCAGGGATGGATGCAGGATTGTCTAGAGATGGAGACTGAGGTTGAGATCCTACACTGGAGTTATGTAAACTAAATCTCTTCTGGCGGAGCTGTGCACTGATTGTGCTGCACAGCTCTTGCACTGAACGGTGTTTTGCACAACTGAGCCAAGATGCTGAGTGTGAAACCCATGTGCATGGGGATCCATGTGCAATGCACACTCATGCACATCTGCATACGCATGCACATTATGTGCACCACATAAGCAACTTCTGCAGTCTCAAACAATGGATCTGCAGTGTGCATTGCCTTGCACACGGATGCACATGTTTGGAGAAAATGACCAATTTAAGTAATACAGCAGCAGAATTAATAATAATAATAATAATAATAATAATTTTTATTTAATACCCCGCCCCTCTGGGTACAATCGGGGCGGCTTACATCATAAAAATTAAGCAACAGTTAAGAACAGTTTCCCCCCCCCTCCCCCCCTTAAGAATTTAATTAAACTCAATACAGTATAAAAACATAATATAAAGAGGTAAATTCCTCCGTTAAAACAATTTAAACCTATAAATACTAATTATTATTATTATTATTATTATTATTATTATTATTATTATTATTAAGAACCAGCTTTTTTTAAAAAAATGACAGGGTTTGTGTCTTTTTCACCGTAGAGAAGGTTGCCTCTGAGAACATGCAGAGTCCCTTTTGCTCATCACTGATTGGCTGCTTGCTCCCCTACTTATCTAAAGTCAGCAGATATGATGGTGTCCATCAAAGTCCCAGAATTTTACCCAATTCAGAATTCCTGCCAAATTATTTTCCCAATTCAGAATTCCTGCCAAAATATGGATTCTGTAATGTAATTGAAACACACACACACAAGTTGTAAAAGATTTAATTCCATTTTAACATTGACTTTTTGGTATATTTTTGGCTGTATTGTTCTTTTTTAAATTGTAAGCTGCCTTGGGTCCCAATTTTGGGCGAAACATAGATATAAGTCCATCAATCAATCAATACAAAATTGGACTTGGCCAGTTTTTTGTGTTGTTCACATCTGTCTGTCTGTCTATCTCTAAACCACAAAGTATTGCTTTAAACATTGTTCAAATCTCAGCGTTAAAAAGAGCATTGAAATTTTCTTTGTTCCTTTATTTTTTTCATTTATATCCTACAGGACACAAAGTGGTTTATAGTATAAGTTACAAAACAAAATGCAGCAAAACAGTATATAACGCCATACTATTTAATTTAAAAGCATTTAAAATGATGTTTAAGACATGAAGATGAAATCATGTGGAATTCTGGCATTTGTATTTTTGTGAGATGTTTATTGTTCTCTGTCAGAGAGAGCTGGTGCCCCACCAAACTACAAATCCCCAGATTTCATACATAGGATCATAGAATCATAGAGTTGGAAGAGGCCACAAAGGCCATCCAGTCCAGTTAAAGATGAACCCATGGCATTTAAAGGAAGGTCAAACTGCATTATTTCTGCAGTGAAGATGCACTCAATGAGAGCCATGGAGCCTGGAGAGAGAGTGGGGTCTCTTCCTCTAGACATCTTCAGAAAGAGGCTGGACATCTCTCCCTGCGGTTGGGGATGCTCCAGCTGGACCTCTTGCATCGAGTGTATGTGTGTGTGGACTTGATGGCCTCTTTGTGGTTCTGTGACACTATGAACTTTTGTATGTTTCCACTGGTGAGGCCTTTTCATAGAATCATAGAGACCTCAAGGGCCGAGGCCAGGGGTAGGCAACCTTTCCCCTTTAAGGGCCGAGGGACTTCAGCTCCCAGAAGCCTCAGCCATGTTGGCCAGTAGTCCCATGTTGGCCAATAGCTCCTGGGATTCTGGGAGCTGAAGTCCCTTGGCCCTTCAAGGGGAAAGGTTGCCTACCCCTGGCCTAGGGTCTTAGAATCAAAAGGTTGGAAGAGACTCCAAGGGTCATCCAGTCCAACCCGCTTCTGCCATGCAGGAAGACACCATCCAATCCCTCCCTGGGACAGATGGCCATCCAGCCTCTGCTTAGAAACCTTCAAAGAAGGAGACTCCACTGTCCTCTGAGGCAGTGTCTTACACAGTCAAACAGCTCTTTCCATCAGGAGGTTCTTCCTAATGTTGAGCTGGAATTTCCTTTCCTGTAGCTTGAATCCGTTGCTCCATTGGGTCCTGTTCTCTGGAGCTGCAGAAAGCAAGCTGGCTCCATCCTCAATATGACAACCTTTCAAATATTTAAGCAGGGCTATCATGTCCCCCATTAGCCTTCTCTTCTCCGGGCTAAACATTCCCAGCTCCCTAAGTTGCTCTCATAGGGCTTGGTGGTTTCCAGACCCTTCACCATTTTGGTTGCCCTCCTCTGGACATGCTCCAGCTTTTAGCTGCATCTGTTGTAATTTTTGTAAGAAGCTCTGGATCCCAATATAGCGAGAGTGGTGGTGATGATGGTGATGGTGATGGTGATGATGGGTATCTTCCTCCCTGTTGGATGTTGGCACTTAAAACCATCTCTTGCCTTCCTTGCAGTACAAACAGGAGGAGCTGGAAGGAGAAGGCTGGGAGTACGCCTCTCTCTTTGGCTGGAAGTTCCACTTGAAATACCGCAAGACGGATTCCTTCCGCCGGAGGCGATGGCGTCGTAGGATGGAGCCCCTCGAACAGACCGGAGCAGCGGCTGTGTTTGCCTTGGAAGGAGCCCTGGTGGGTACTCCATCTCTCCTCTCATCCCTCCACAGCTATTAGTCAGGGTCCAGGCCTGGCAACCCTAAGGGGTGGCTTCAGAGGTGCAGCTATGGGCCCCCATAAATGAGGACATGGGACATCCCAAGAACTTTGTCCCCTCCAGTGAACTTTTCCTTCAGTCTCCAAATGTCTGGCTTTGCAGTAAGGTAAAACGTCCGTTGAGACCCAGCGTGGTATAGTGGTTTGAGTGCTGGACTACAGCTCAAGAGATCAGGGTTCAAATTCCTGCTCAGCCATGGAAACCCACTGCGTTTCTTTGGGCAAGTCCCATTCTCTCAGCCCCAGGAGACGACAACGGCAACCGCTCTTGGAGCAAATCTGGCCAAGGAAACCCAGTGATAGGTTCTCCTTAGGGTTGCCGTAAGTCAAAAATGACTTGAATATGTACAACAACAACAACTTCAGTTGAGCATTTAGAAATAAACACTCAGAGAAAAAGGTCAAAAGGCAAAGTGACCCAAGGAGTACAAGCACAGCAAATAGGATAGTTCTAGGTCTGATAGATTTTCACTGTCTCACTCTCTGCAATGCTAGAAATGTGGCTGTTGAAGGCAAATATCATTTTGGGGGGCTAGAATTCCTACTTTTGGGAGCAATGCCCTCATTTTGCCACCCCGGGATAGCTGTATTTGCATTGAAGGGAAACACACTCACATGGGCACACACTTTCCCCCTGCTCTGTTTTCAGCATTTTTGCAAACACTTTTGAAAAGAATACGTAGGAGCTGTAGTTCAACCGAATAATGTTTCCTAAGCTCTGCTTTGAACAGAAAACAGTTGACAGCAGTTACAGAGTTGTTGTCATTATCTGTTGTCAAGTTGACTTTGACTTATGGCCACCCTCAAATTGAGAGACGTCTAAGAGCCTTCTTGGGGTGCAGCTACACAGTAGAAATAATTTAGCTCCATCCGATAAAATCCTGAGATTGGTAGTTTTACAAGGTCATTAGCCTTCTCTGTCAAAGAGAGCTGGTGTTCTACCAAGCTAGAAATCCCAGGATTCTGTAGGATGGAGCCATGGCAATTAAAGTGGTTTGAAACTGCATTATTTCTCCCATGTAGATGCACACTTTCAAAGTCAGAGCAGCAGCCAGGACTTCCTTGACTGAATCAATCTGCCTGTTGTGTGGCCCTCTCCAATTTCTGAGCATTATCATTTTTTCCAAAGAGCTCCATTGTCTTATGATGTGTCCAAAGTACAGCAGCCTCAGTTTAGTCCTTTTGGCTTCTACAGAGGGTTCACTTCTCCTTTTGGCAGACCACATATCAGAAGAACTCTCCTCTATTCCATTTCAGATTTCTAGAGTAATTTCTAGAGGACCAGTGCTTGTTAAATCACTGTTCTACTTGACATTTCCTTCAAGTATTTAACAAGGGCTGTATTATGTCACCTTGTGGGCTTCTCTTCTCTGACCTAAACACACTCAATGCCCTGCCAGTTTTTCCAGGTGTTTTGGACTTTTCAGCTCTTAGAATCCCAGGTGGCTGAGGCTTCTGGGAGCTGAAGTCCAAAACGCCTGGAAGACCAGAGTTTGGGAGTCACTGCTAAACTGTTTCTTATAGGGCTTGGCTTCCAGACCTTTGACCATCTTGGTTGCCCTTCTGTGGACATGGCTGGAATCCTATTCTTAGTCCCAGATGGATGTTGTTGTTGTTGTTGTTGACTGCTCTCAAGTTGACTTTGGCTCATGGTGACCCTGTGGATGAGACACCTTCAGGACTCCCTGTCCTCCATTGCTCTGCTTAGGCCCTGCAAATTCATACCCCTGACCTCCTTAATAGTGTCCATCCATCTGGTGTGTGGTCTTCCTCTCTTTCTACTTCCCTCCATCTTTCCTGGCATTATTGTTTTTTTCCAGTGATTCATGCCTTCTCATGATGATTCATGACAAAGTACAATAGACTCAGTTTGATCATCTTGGCTTCCAGAGAGAGTCTTGGCTTGAAGGACCCAATTGTTTGTCTTTTTGGCCATCCATGGCATCCTCAGCACTCTTTCCCAGCACCACATTATCTCAAATGAGTTGATTTTCCTTCTATTGGCTTTCTTCACTTCCCAGCTCTTGCATCTATACATTGTGATGGAGAATACAATGGCCTGGACTATCCTCACTTTAGTGTTCAGAGTTATGTCTCTACACTTTATACAGAGTTATGTCTATCCCAAATGGATAGACTCATTGAATCAATGAGAACTTTAAAAGTCAGTGCTTATTGCATTGTTTTTGTGGACTTATTCTCATTGGGATTAACACTAGGATTCAAGCCACAATGTTTATTGTGGATGTTGTTGAGGAAATGTATTTTGTCTGCCTCCCCGCCTCTCATACACAGATGATTTTGCATTGCTCCATGAGCATCACCCCATCTTTGTTTTCACAAGGACCTACTCTCTGGTTTTAACCCTAAAATCTCAGTGAATGGGAAGCTCTGGTTTTGGTCCCCCTTGCCTTGAGTTATTTGTGTTGTTATGCAAAGTTTTGCGGGCTGCTTGGTCTCGCAGGGGCTGCTAATAATAATAATAATAATAAATTTCCTGCATGGCAGGGAGTTGGACTAGATGGCCTTTGTGGTCTCTTCCAACTCTATGATTCTAATAATAATAATAATAATAA